AGGTCACGGTATCCAAAGTGGTTGAAATGAAGGCAACTGAACTTCTTTGGTTTCTTGAAGACATTTCAGTTCTCGTTCGGGGAGCTTTGTCAGTTCTGAGTGGAATGGGAGGGTCAAGCTTATAACTGGCTGTCTATTGTTGCTTAACAAGGTAGTTTCTTCTCATGAAGTAGCAATAGACAGCTACAGTTTATAACCATGACTCCTATATTCCAGTCAGAATTGACAAAGATTCGAACCCTTTTGGGTCACTAACAAGACTTTTCACCTTCGATTTACCTCAAAACTGATTTTAAAAATCTTGTTAACCCTCTCACTGTCTTTATGGGTGACCTTGCGAGGAAAGTTGGCCATTGAGCAGGATTGATGGTTTATCTCTTGAGGTCCATGTGGCAGGGGTGAGGTGGTGCTCACTCCTCACCCCTGCCACATAGACCCAAGAGATAAACCATCAATCCTGCTCAATGGTCAACTTTCATTGCGGGGTCACACCCATTGTGGGAGGGTTACATATTTCTCACTCTAGAGAGGTCCAAGTAAATATTTCTATCAGAATTTAACAGGTGAAAGTTGGATCCAAAGTTGTTTCTCTAACATTTAGAGATGGATTTGGTCTAATCAGCCATCAGTTTAAACAATTTCCTTTAGAAAATGTTATTCAGTAATGTTGAAATTTTATTTTATTATGTTTTTGGTTGTACTGTCAAATTGCCTATCCGGCATTTGCTATATTTGTCTCCAGAACAACTAAGATTCAGTTTTTATTAGTGTTTTAATATTTTTCTAATATTAGATTTATTTATTTCAATTCCATAAAGTATATACGTATTTCCCTTTCTATCCTGGTCTTGAGTGGACAGATTTGGGTTCAACGCCCAAAGGATTCATGGATTTGATCTTTTAAGCAAAATGCACAAATGAAACTTCTCGTGTTGCCCAACAGTCGTTCCAGCCTGTGACACGTTTTCACAGCCATGTGGTTTCTGTCCGCGCCACGCTGATGGAAACAACCAAGTCACAGTCTCAGTATAAAAAAAACCAACCTATTATATTTACTGTAAATTCAGTAATCCTGAACTTCAACAATGCTCATGAACAATAAACTGTGTTTTCTCCTGGGATCGATGACACAACACTGCCTTTGTGTTTGTGCTATTTTTCTATTTTGCTTTCACCAAATGCACAACAGTAATTTAGCTCTTAAAGGAAGAGATTAGGGGAATTCTGTGGAAACGTTTTTAACAAACTTGTTTTAGGTGGCTGTATTGATGGCCTCATTTCGAGTAATGGAGATTAGTTCCGACCAGATTGATAAGCTAACGGCTAGTCTGAGTTAGGCCAAAACCAAAGGAGATACTTATAAATAACTTTGATTTCAAACATTTTAAAGCACTCACTGCAAAAACAATTTCATGAAAAAATTGGTTTGCAGTCAATTTTGAATTTATTTGATATTATTCTGCTAGAAAACTGCTTGAAAACTCACTACTTCAACCTAGCTTATACAACATAATTATGGACCTCACTGACATCTGCACTGTTTATAAATGGACTCCACAATTATCGACTTCCGTATTATTGAGGTTCTTTGTAAAATGTTTTTTCCTATTTTTATTTCACCCTGTGTCTTATTGATTTTTAGCTGTTATTTTTGGGAATTTTGTTGTATTTCCTTTTTATCTTTTATCTGGGTTTGACATGTTTCTATAACGCCTGTTTAATTAACCAACATTTTTAGTGTACAGCGCCTTGTTTGGTTGTAATGCCTTGTGAATGCACTTTATAAATAAAATTGGATTGGATTGGATTGGATAGAAAGTTGCTAGCTCAGATACCTAGCTCAGCTGCTAATCTGCATCACAAAGAACCAAAAACATGTCCGTAAATCTTTGGTTTATGTGAAAGCTATTATAATAAATTTTATAATGCTGTCAGTTTCACATAATGCTGCTTTTTTATTTGCAAAAACAAATGGCAGCAGCAGCTAGCAGTAGCTCTAGCATAGTTTGGGGCAATTTTTCCTTGTGTCAGTCTGAAGGTTTTTAGGACAGCATTCAGATGAAATTTTATGTAACTTTTGATGTTATTTAAAGAAGATACGGATAATCTTTCTGTGTTTAGCTGTTAGCTTATCAATTTGTTCAAAATTCATCTCTGCATCTCTAAACCAAGAACATTCAAATGATATTGTTCATAAGCTTTCAACAAAAACCCTTTAAAAAAAACCTGGACTATCCCTTTAAAATAACATTATTTCCTCTATCTCTGGAAACAATCGCTATCAGGTGATGTTGAAGCAGGGTGCATGGATGTTTGGTTTAAAGCCACATCAAGGAACTTAAATTTGGTGGAAACAAGGCTGTGTCACGTTTTTCCTGACATGACACAGATATAGATTTTATCTTTGAATGTTCTTCTGATTTCTGGAAACACCTGCTTTTACTGTAATAGCCGCTACTTCTGATTATTGCATCCGGTATCATGATCACATCACTGACTAGCCTTGACTGTGCAGCATGAATAACAGTGATCATCCGGAGGAGAGAACAATGGGAACACTGTGAATCGGTCACAGCAGAAGCTGCTAATAAAACACAATTGTCCATCTGAGTTCACACTTGTTCAGTTGAGGAGGAGTATTTGGTGTGCTTCTGTGAGCCCATAGCTATGGCAAGTTTAATAATATTGAATTAGAGCTAAATGCAATCTTTGGGTTTTGCTTTTGGTTGGTTTTAGACTTTCATTGATTAAAGCTGATTACAGTAAACTAGCCTCAGCGTTAGAGTAATAACTGTTTTGCAGATCGTGTTCTCAGAGACGTAATCGTGTCTTGCTTTATGCTTCTGTTCATGGTTAAAAATCCAGTGACTATATGAATAGAACACTGAGAATCTGCACTTTTACTTCATGAAAGAGCAAACAGAACGTAGAAAACTCAAACAGACTTTAACCTCTTGGCTTGTTTGCCTTCCTCTGTACAAAAAAGCCAGACTCATAATTTCTGGAATATTATCTCAACCTGTCAGTGTGTGTGTGTGTGTGTGTGTGTGTGTGTGTGTGTGTGTGTGTGTGTGTGTGTGTGTGTGTGTGTGTGTGTGTGTGTGTGTGTGCATTGCAAAATGTCCAGGCTGAGAGCCGAATGAGCGGAGGAGGTCAGATCTTCTTTGTTGGAAGTCACTGTGTCAAAGTAGAGTTAAATCACTGCAGCTTGTTTGCTGCACAAATATTTTGCATAGTCTAGAAAGGGAAGTCAAATATGTAGAAATGTGAGATCAGACTGACGTGATAAACGCTAACAAAGTCAGATCCAAACCAATGTTCAGTTACTTTGAATCTGCTTTTTGGGACATGCTGTCTGAGAGCTCTGCATCCGCTGACCTGAGATCTGTTATTTCTGGAGTAAACTGGAGTAAAGTCTTCAGCATCTTCTTTTCTCATGTTGCATAATGTGTTTTTTCCCATCTTTGTGTTTCAGTGAAACTGAATTGAAATAAATATGCCACAAATAAAATGCGATGTTAATAAAAGTATTAATTTTTTTATCCTGCATATTAATGGAAAATAGAATTACTCACAGGCATATCTTTAAACCCGCTGAGCAAGCATGTAGCGGCAGAGGAGAGGAAAACAGCAAAAAGATTTTTTTGCAGACAAAAATATGAATGTATAAAATACACAAGAAAACTGTGGAATGGCTTCAAAAAGTGTAAGATCTATGCACAAATACATAAATACATTAAAAAAAACTTATTTTAAAGTTTTAAAAATTAAAGCATGTTGTGCAAAAAATAAGAAAATGGTGTAGAAATAAACCTTGGCCTACTCACAACCTTTCATCTTCTGGTTTAGGTTCACATCAAACCCACTCAGACCAAAGAGAGTCCGGCATCTCTGAAGATGGAGCCCTCTCAGTCAGAGATGAACATATTAGCTAACGGGAAAATCCACGATCTTGGAGATGACTTGGTTGTGACGATGAAGACGCTGCTCGGCGAGGATCAGTGAGTCTTGCCTTGTTTGTTGAGTTTGCAGCATCACTTTTGTTTCTCTGTATCAATATCAAAAGATAAGGCAGAACAGATGTCTTCATTTATTTATTAAAAACAACATATGTAGTGTGACTTATTTTGGGAAAAAGGGCTTTTTAAAAAATTTGCCCTGCTTTTGTGCTTGCCTGAACTGTTGGATCATTAAAGAAATGGCACTGAACCATTCAGGTACGTTCGGAGAGAGCTGTGTGAAGCACTTTTATCTGCAGATTTGTTTTAACAGCATCAACAATTACGTTAAATGTGATTTACTGCTGAGTGCATCAGATACTTTTACACTTTTAAGAGCTGGATAAAGAAACCATCGATTAATAGGTGTATCTTCTGCTCGTAGATATGATGACACAGAGGGCGGACTGGAGAGTGAGAAGTTTTTGCCCAGTGCAGATGGAAAGAAGCCTGTACGCTTCACTGATGTGAGAAAGTTGAAGTTTTATGTTATTACCTCTTCTTTATCATCTCCACCTAATTTGAATTTCCATTCTTGCTGCTTTAATGGTGCCTTTAAAGTGGAATCTTTACTTTTAGCAGCTCCATGTTAGGGGAAAACAATGACTTTAAAATTGCTTAAAGGGGACATTTTATGACTTGAAGCTACAATAGCAAATTTGGGAAAACAAATTAGCTTAAAACATTTTTTTTCATGTCTCTCAACAACATTTTAACATAGATATAAATATATTGTGGAGATAAACAAAAACGGTTCTGTCGTGATTGTCTTAAAACTTCCACCAGTAACACTTTTTGGACCTAAAGTGACCATCAGACAATCCCGTTGTCGGGCTCGTCAAATCACCACACTTCGGGACTTTCCTGGGTCCTCCATTTATTACGCACTCACATATTTAGCAACACACCCTTGGTGTGAGAGGCTCTCCACTCACTATCAGAGAAGGGGAAACAGCCAGCTGCCATCACTTCAACTTTAGGACAAACTACCGTTCCCCCCAAAAGAAAAACACCATTTGAAGTCACAGACAACAAAAGAAGTTTGGACCTAGAAAACGGCAACAGGTGTTTAGCGCTATCTCGTTTCCTTTGGCATTGTGGGTTTCCGGTTCTAGTGGATGTGGATGTAGGGAAGATACCCGGGAGGTGTGTTCTGTGGCTGTGTTTGCATTCAAAACCTAGTTTGTTCGTAAATTATGATAGTTTTATATTATATAGAAACACATTTATTTACAAGTGATTTCAGAGGTTTCATTCTTGACAGTTTCAGTAGTACCTTCCAGAATGGGCCGTTTCAGGGCTCAGTACCTTTAAAGCTGAGGCAATATCAGCGAGCCTTTTGTCATTCATAAGTGGACAGTAATGTGATGTGATCTTGTTTTTCACAAAAGATAAAAGCAATGGCGGGATAAACAAGGTGTGGGAGTAGTTTCTGTGCTGTTGATGTGCAATCACGGATATCCTTTTAGGTTGGATTTTACTTGTTTTTATCCTGATTGAAGCCACGCTCTGTAATTTTCTTCACAAGCCACTCCAAAACTTGGATGTCCTTCACAGTCCCAGCCTGGCCATCTGTTCTTCAGCTCTAAAGGCCAGAAGCTCTGAGATATCTGCATTGCTCCAGTTTGCCACCTCAGCTGCAACTGCTTGCAAATGCAAAAGGAACTCCCCATGTTTACACGCATTTTAAATATTGTTGCCATCTTGATCTTTGTTCAAAAGTTCAGCATTGCAGTAATATTAGTATCAAGATCTAACAGTGCTTTACTGTCACCTCGCAATGCCGCCACAACGCTTTCAAAGGACAGGCATTGGCGACCGTATTACCCTAATATACCACTACGGTGTGTCTTTTGAAACTGGCTTAAGGAAACAAATTGGAGCTGGTCAAGTCCACCCATTCCTTGTTTGGCTGCTATGAGGTGTGGAGCTCCAAAACCTAGGAGAGGTTCAAAGTAGAGCTGCAGCTCCTCCAACCTGCAGAGGTGCTTCTATGCAAATTTCCCCAACTGTGATGTCACACACGGGGACTTTTGGATCATAATTCCTAAATAGCAGAAAATGAATGGATGAGTATTCCTTTTTACATTGGGAGTTTTAGATAGGCAGTAGAGACCCACTTCGCAGCACAAAAACATGTCCCCTTTAAGCAACACCTAAACTAAAATTTAATCTTGTATTTTGACGAAATTAACACATTTTGGTAAAGCTGCACTACAAAATATTTTTAATAAAGATGATGTCCTCCACGATGCTTTCCCTTTAAAAAATTATCAAATTCTCTTACAGTTTGAAGGAAAGACGTCTTTCGGCATGTCAGTCTTCAACCTGGGCAACGCTATCATGGGCAGTGGTATCCTTGGACTGGCTTATGCCATGGCCAACACTGGCATACTACTCTTCTTGTGAGTACATGGATTGATGCCGTAAATGAGACTTAACCTGATACCTTAAAATGACCAAAATGCTGATGTCAAATGTTCTAAATGCTCACTGGTTTGGTTAAAGTCTGTAAGAATAGTCAACTAAAGTAAAAAACATATCTAATTAAAGCAGTTGGTAACCAACATCTTTAATATTTAATAATATAAGTCTGCCAGAGCTTCTAAAAGTCAATGTTAAATGGTTAGTTGTTCATTTTGGCTAAATTAGGCTTATTTCTCTGCATAAATCTTATAATCTGCTATGTTTTTGCCAAGTTTTTTTTGGGAAATTGAACAAATGGTGGCTATAAAAAGTATTCTTTGTATTTCATTTACTTTCAAACAAAATAAAGGAGCATTGTTGTTTAGTTTAGGAATCCTTAGGTGTCGATGGAACCTCTAATGGGTTTTGTGAGGAATTTCTCCTTTGAGTTAATCATGGATTTACTCTGGCTGTTGTCCATTGTGCAATTACTTAAAGAGCTAATTTACAACCTGTCACGACTTGATCTTGCACGTACAGCACACACCGATATGCCCACTTCTATTCATATCCCTGCTTCTCAGACACTGTTGCTGCAGATAGGTCCTAGAAAGGACACGGCTCAGAATAACCAAACGACCAGACCACAGTGAGGAATCCGGACAGGTTGTTTACTTTCCTCTGCTCCATGCAGACTGCTGCTGTCAGACCATGACTCTCAATGTCTTCGTCATGTTGTCTGTGTTTATGTAGCAGCAGGGAAAGCGAAAAGCATGGAAACATTTACGCATTGAAACTGGATAAATACCAATAATAATCTACTTTTTTTACATAGTTCACAATAATCACAATAATTCAACTTTAAAAATTGGTGAATGGGAATACAATAAATGATTTGTTTTGTTGACAGTTGTTCATTAATCTCCAGCATCCTCATTTTCCTTCTGTGTCACTGGTGAAATGTGGCCAACAGCCGGTTATTTAAAAGCAACTCAAGTTTACCGTTCAGGACAAATCGATTTACTTTTTCATTTTTCATTTTCAGGAAGAAAGAAGCAGTTAAACTCATAACTAGTCTTAATGTAGTAGAGGCATAAAATAAGCAGAAATTAAAAAGGAAATTAATTTTCTCATAATAATCTACCCTACATCTATTAAATTAAAGATCCAATGAGACCTTTAATGGCTGCGTTCATCCCAGACTATATGTGACATGTGTGAGGAAGGCCCATGAGAGGTTAAATGTATGTAAACCATCGGACCCATCAGCAATGTTAAACCTGAAAACCTGACTCAAACCTGCTTAGGCTGAGTAAGAATGAAAAGTCAAAGGGGTTATGGGAAGCAGTTCATAAAGGACGATTAGTCACCACCATTGGAGGTCATTTATGTATATTTCTGTAGAAAATATAGATCTTGTAGGATAGTTTTATTTTGCAATACTTGCAGTTTTTGCTGACAATAACGAAAAATTATTATTATACCATTTTAAAAAACAAAAATACATTTCTCCACTGTCTCAGGTTTAATCAGTATGATAAAAAAAGAAAAACAGACAAAAAATGAGTAATTTTTATTTGTGTTGCAGATTCCTTCTGACTGCAGTTGCACTCTTATCATGTTACTCCATTCACCTAATGCTTAAAACCTCCGGCATTGTGGGTAAGTTTTATATCATGTTACATAATGTCCACTTTTGCTGGATATTATAATTAAAATGTGAGATTTAAGGCAATCAGAAAACACAGAAAAACTATTTTCAGTGATTAGTTCTGATAATTTTTGGGTTTTTTAAGGAGGCTAACCATTAAAATAGTCCTCTAATCCTATCTCCTGCATTAGCTTCTGACAGAAAACAGATGGTGAAAATCCAGGATTTGAGAAGCTTGACAGATCTATGTCACACTGTCACTAAGCATTCATGGACTCAACCATCTTGACTTGTGATGGGGAAGTCTGTTGGTTTAGCATCCAGGAAACAGCACAGAAAATCTCGGCTATTAGAAGCTAACCATTAGCATTAGATACTCCACATCACAGCAGAACTCCATCAGGTTTGTGTTATTTGCGGAGATAAAACATCAGTGTTGCAGAGCCAATGGAGTCAGTGGTAGAGTTGGGTTGCTGTTAGACAATCTTTGGTGAGAAGTCCAAACATCAGGAAATAAGATGCCAAATTGTGCTTGTTTGAAGCTACCTTTTCCTCCAACTGAATTATCTGTGCTGAAACAGGTAGCCTGGCCTGCCAGACTCATCCTCTGTTCTACACAGAGAACTAGTCTGGTTACTCACAGGCAGAGAGGCGTATAAGGGACGGGACTAGCCAGCTCAAAAATAACCAATCCGAAAAAAGGCGGAAATGCAGACTGCACCACTCTTTTTAGGTGTAGTCACAAATGGCGTCTGGCAACGGCACAGACATTGTTTTGTTTTTTTAAGAAAGGCTTTTAGCACTTCTTGTTGTGAGACATGTTCAAGTAATTTACAACAGAGGATAGAGCTGCGGCAAACTCCGCTTCAGTCGCCATGTTTACGAGAAACTCAGCGTTGTGGTGTGTGACGTATGCTGCTCAGCGCTGATTGGCTCGATTGGAATTCTCAGACGGTGGGGTTATTTGAATACAAGAATTCTCAGACCCTTTGCTTCCAATAAGGAAGTCAGCAGATGGCCACAGAGTTCTGTCCAATGTGAAGTTGCTCATGTTTCTAGCTCCAGAACCACTGAAACCAGTTTGAAAGCAATAGCTTAAAGTGCTAAAATCACTTTAGCATTGCTTTAAATGACAACTGTTTAAATAGCACACTTTTGGCCAACACTGTCATTATCTCTTACCATTCAGTAAATGAGTTGGAGTCAGTTTTATATGTCCAAACAAATATTAAAGCAGTGAAAATGACAAATGGATTCAACCTTTTTCAATTTTGTGAAAGTGTTTTTATTGTTTTGCCCAGAAAGGCGTTTGAGCAAATCTAAACGAATGCTGTTTGTAATCTGATTACAGGAATTCGAGCTTATGAGGAGCTGGGGTACAGGGCCTTTGGTACTCCTGGAAAAATGGCTGCTGGAATAGCAATTACTCTGCAGAATATTGGAGGTGAGGTTCTCTTGTCTGCAAACTCCTTAAACAATAATTATGCACCATATTCCCCAAACATAGGGATTAAGCATATGAGGATGATATCCTCTTTAACTCGAGTTAGTTAAATGTATGTAGGGATGCTTCACGAGAACACAATTGAAATCTTGTTAATAATAATAATAATAATAATAATAATGCATTCTATTTAAAAGTACCTTTCAAGGGACACAAGGACACTACAGCAATAAAATAACAAGAACACACAGAAGCCTAAAAACACAAACTAGATAATAAAATCAATGAAGATGGAAAAGGTGACACTAGCAGTATGCAGTCTGAAACAGGTGGGTTTGAGTCTAGATTTAAAGGAGGGGAGCGAGTCAGAGTAACGGATGGCTTGAGGGGGAGAATTCCAGAGACGGGGAGCAGAGCTGCTGAAGGCTCTGCTCCCCATAGAGCTGAGACGGAAAGGTGGGACAGAGAGAGTGATAGAGGATGATTATCTGAGGGAATGGATGGGAGAGATAATGTGAATGATGTCAGACAGGTATGGGAGAGAAAGTTTATGGATAGTTTTAAATGTGAGGAGAAGGATTTTAAAATCTATGCGTCGTCTAACAGGATGCCAGTGAAGCTGTTGCAGGACAGGGCTGATATGGTGACTCACAGGGTTTTTTAGAAATGATTCATGCAGCAGAATTTTGGACCAGTTGGAGCTTATGGAAGGACTTTTGTGGTACACTAAAGAGAAGTGAATTGCAGTAGTCGATTCTTGAGGTGACAAGGCTGTGAACAAGTATGGAAGCAGAGTGAGGGGTGAGAGAGGGGCAAAGGCGATTTATGTTGCGCAGGTGAAAGTAGGCAGACCGAGCGATGCTATTGATGTGGGAAATAAATGAAAGAGTGGTGTCAATGATGACACCCAGACTCTTAACCTGCAGGGAAGGAGAAACAGAGGAGGAATCAACAGTAAGGGAAAAACTGGGCGCTTTGGATAAGGTGGATTTGGTGACAACTAAAAGGATTTCTGTTTTGTCACAGTTAAGTTTAAGAAAATTTGTGTTGCACCAAGATTTAATTTCAGCTAGACAGGAGGAGAGGTAGGGGGGTGGAAGTGGAGATTTGGGTTTTAAGGAAAAGTAAAGCTGGGTGTCATCAGCATAGCAGTGAAAATGAATGTTAAATTTGTGAAAGATATGACCAAGGAGATAGAAAAAGAGAAGGGGCCCCAAGACAGAACCCTGGGGCACACCTTTGACAACTGGGGAGGGGTCTGATCTGAAGGATTTGAGTTGTATGAATTGTGTGTGGCCTGAGAGATAGGAGAGTGTTACGTCCCCAACAGGAGATGTTAAAATGCGAAGCAGGGGGTAACATAAGAAATACGACAGTGAAGTTAAAACTAAATCCGAGTTAACCTTAAAACACAGTCAACACTAGGTGACATGCGCAAAAGATCCATGTGGATCACTCAGAGTTAAAACTGTTAAAGTTAAAACTCATCAAAACGAAGGGGTTAAAACCAAAACGAGGCCTGGAGGACAGCAGAACCCCTGCACTGCTGCCTCCCAGACTGCTGAAGGCACAGCCTTTTTATCCCAGGTGTGGGTCATCAGCAGGATTTAGCTCAGCTGTGCTCCTCAGCAGCCTGGAAGAGAGGAGGAGGAGGGGCGGTGCCAGGCTGATCACCAGGGCTGGGTGATCCTGGCTCCTGCATCCCAATGGCCAGGCTGGTAGCCGTAACAGAGAGGAACCAGTCAAGTGTGAGATGGGATATGCCAATATATGAGAGCCTGTCAAGAAGAACTGAATGAGAAATGTTATCAAAAGCTGCGCTCAGATCAAGCAGGATGAGGATGGTAAGAAGGCCTGAATCGGCAGCAGTCAGAAGATCATTAGTGCTTTTTAAGAGAGCAGTTTCTGTACTGTGACCGGGGTGAAAACCAGATTGAAATTGTTCATAGAGAGTGTTTTTTTTTCCAAGTGAGAGTGGAGTTGGGAGAGTTGGTTTGTGCAAATGGAAATAAAAATAGCCACAAGTGTAAAACAAACAGCATGTGTGGGTAGACATCCACCATATGCTTTTTACCACTTATGAAAAAAATCTAATTTGATAATTTACTCTGTCCAAAAAAATAAAAAAAAACATGGGTGCAATTTTAAAGTATTGTAATTACTTTCTTCTGTTTATCAGGGTTTACACACAGAAAAACATGCACCGCGTTATTCCTGATGTGCTGAGACTCTCACCACGTGTAAAAACGTTTGTTTGCTGACCCAGTTATAAGCAGAATCTAGGTTCATTCTGGCATCTGTGTTTGACTAAATGTAACCTGGCAGTAAAAAAAAAGGAAGAGGATAGCTTCCCCTGACCTGTGAACATGACGTTTGTTGACTAGACCGTATTTACTTGAAATGTGAATCAATAAGTTGCGTCTCCTTTTTCTGGACTGAGGCCTAAACTCTTTTTAAGTGGTCCAAAAGTGATAAAAGTAACCAGAATCAGAAGACGTGACCACATTTGCTGTCCTCAGCAGTAGAGTGGATGCCACCCTGTCAAGTACAAAAACGCCGTGTGATGAGTGTTGACAAGAAACAACTCTGCTTGTGGGTCGAAATGTAACCATATTTGCTTTCAGTTGAGTGTGGGAATTTATGTCTCCTCTGTTTTGTTTGATCGCAGCCATGTCCAGCTACCTGTACATCGTTAAATCCGAGTTACCGCTGGTCATCCAAGCATTCCTGAAGGCAGATCCCAATTCCGAGTGAGTATTGCTCTGCACAAGATGCACAAAACCCAGGCTGGCACAAAAATGTCAGGAGCAAATGTTTCAATTTCCACTCGTACCATACCATACCATACCATACCATACCATACCATACCATAAATGATAATGATAAATGACCCGCACTTGTATAGCGCCTCTCAGAGTAAGGACTCCAAAGCGCTTTACACTACAGTGTATCATTCATCCATTCACACACACATTCACACACTGATGGTGACGAGCTACGATGTAGCCACAGCTGCCCTGGGGCGCACTGACAGAGGCAAGGCTGCCGAGCACAGGCGCCGCCGGTCCCTCCGACCACCACCAGCAGGCAAGGTGGGTTAAGTGTCTTGCCCAGGGACACAACATACCTTACCATACCATACCATACCATACCATATCACACCGTACCATTCCATACCATACCATACCATACCGTACCATACCATACCATATCACACCGTACCGTACCATTCCATACCATACCATACCATACCATATCACACAGTATACCATACCATACCATATCACACCGTACCGTACCATTCCATACCATACCATATCACACCGTACCGTACCATTCCATACCATACCATACCATATCACACCGTACCGTACCATTCCATACCATACCATACCATACCATATCACACCGTACCGTACCATTCCATACCATACCATACCATATCACACCGTATACCATACCATACCGTACCATTTCACACCGTACCATTCCATACCATACCATACCATATCACACCGTACCATTCCATACATACCATACCATACCATACCGCACCATACCATACCATATCACACTGTACCGTACCATTCCATTCCATACCATACCATATCACACCGTATACCATACCATACCGTACCATACCGTACCATACCATACCATACCATACCATACCATACCATACCATACCACATTTATTTGTAGAGCACAGTTAAAAACAGCATATGTCATTTGACCAAAGTGCTTGAAAAGAAAGAAAGGGTGACAAAACACAAAAAAAATACTGCAGTTTTTATCTATGCTGTCAGAGTGGGAGTGGGATTAAAACGAATGCGTGGAGTTGTCCGAGCAACAGGAGTGCCATGATTGGTATCCATACAGGAAATAGGCTTTCTATATTGCCAACAAGTTAAAGCAAGTGACCCATGGAAGAGTCATGCTGAGGACACGAATACCCTATTCAGAAAGAAGCATGTTGTGAATCCCAGCTGCCATTTCAGATGAAAGCATGTTCTGAGAAGGAGCAGCAGGGAGTGAAACTGTAGCCCCCTGTGCTGAACCAGAGCACAGCAGAAATGTTGATGCAGACATCCAGGACTTGATGCTCAATCATTTGGAATACCAGGGAGAATTCAACTCTGTTTCTTTTCATTGTTTTGTTTTATTTGATCGTCACCTTCAGACAACACTTGTATAGGTTGCAGTTTTCCCAAAAACAAGAGTTTGTCATTTTCTGCTGATTCATTTTTTACAAGAGAGATTATGTTTAGAACCCCGTCCATCACTCAGTAGCATCGGATCCAAACTTGGAGTTCTTTTTCAGTGACAAGAGGTGTGACCTCCCTGGGATCTCACGCCCTTCTAGAATTACATAAAGACCTTGAAAACAATATTTTTACAGTTGAAAATAAGGTATTGAGCTTGCGCAAGTCGTCGCTGAAGTGACAGCAACATGTGGTGTTCAAAAAACACTGTTGCCAAATTCCAAATGCAAGCACACGAACAGGTCAGCTCCGGCCCAGCTCCCACTGTCCGCTTCCACTCAACACTCTTACTGTCGTCCAGATCTGTGGCGTCAAAGGAGCTGAGAGGAACAGGAGGTGCAGTTGTGAGGCTGCAGCTTTATTTAGGACCACAGGCTCTTTAAATAGACTTCACTGACGTACAGCCAATTGATGACAAGAAACATTTCTAGCAGAACACTAAAATGGACAGCATGTTTGAATTATGGGTTAATTCTGACAATTGTTTGGGAAAGTATGAGATTGTTGAGAAGTTTGGCACATAGGAGGATTTTACACTTAGTTTTTTGATCTTATGGAGGTAAATAAAACAAGATTGCAGCTGATTGGATGTAGAAAATACACACAAAGTTTAATTTCAGAAACAAATCATTGCATAGTGTGATGTTTAAAAGGAACTCACTGCTCACTGAAGTTCAGAAACCCCAACGGCTTGTACTGTAGCAATAAAGACCTAAATATAACTCGCTCTGAGTCGAGAACTTGACTGAATATAACTGTACTTTGTGTCCGGCGACTCTCACTTGTGAAAGCTGATCAGCTAAAGTGACCCGCTGACCAAAAGGCTGAAGAGAGCACAACCTGTTATTTGTGCTTTCAAGGGATTCCTTTAAACCAGCACACACACTTATTTACACACATGCTGCTTGTCTCAGAAATAGCTACAAGCCTACAGAACTGTAACAGACCAATGACTAAGTTTACATGCAGCCAATATCCGGGTTATGATCGGGTTAAGGTCGGTATTCGGGTTTCTGAGTTGATCAGAATAACCCGTTTACAAGCATGAATAGAAAGAGTTACCCCTAACTTGCATAACCAGATTTAAATGCGGACGTTGGGGTAGCGTCAGGACGTATGGACTACGTCCAGACGCATTATGCGTCATTTCCGGTTCTTCTTCTTCCGGTATCCGTGAAAACAACATGTTTCTCAGTTCGGAAGAGATAGCGACCGCGTTTGTTTGTGCTTTAGTTTCTTCGTCACTCCAAAAGTGTGGTGCTGTGCCGCGACTCGCCATTTTGCTCCCAACTTGTTGTTTACTTCCGGTGTTCTGGCGCATACAAGACGTCTCGCTACTCAAAAGACCAAGATTCCTTGCGAACAGAGCATGCGCAGAACACACGCTTTGATGGTGATATCCCGATATGCGTTTACACGACCAAACATTCGGGTCAGAAAAGGGTTACCCCAGGTGTAGTAACCGGCTTTTTAAAAACCCGGTTATGAGCATATCCGGGTTTTTGGCGGTGTTTACAAGGACCTGCGGAACCGGGTTATTGTGAATATTCGGGTTTTAAAAGGGTTACTGGCTGCATGTAAACACACTGATTGATCCCCTTTGGTTGGATCTCATTCAGGGTCAAGAATAACAGGATTAGCAGCTTACAAGAAGCTCAGTGGGACAGAAAGACCTTTCTGTACCCAGGATTTCAGGGACAATAGTGCTTGAATGGATTGACAGTAATTTACTTAATCTGCTGGCGATGTTCCTTGTTCATATTACTGCCGCTGAAATAAGTCCATTCACATGACAATCAGTGAGATGTTTAATGACATGATTGTTTGCCATACTCAGTCATGTCAGAGGGGTTATAAGAAACAAAACTGCTTTTATCTTTGGTTAAATTTCTGCTATTTACTCTTTGCTAGCAAAACATCCCCTGAGTCATCGGAGGGATTTAAAATAAACTCTCAGAAACCAATCAGCTGCTCATCTTTGTGTTCTTTTTGAAATACAACTAGTCACTCTGAGATGCATATGCATGGTGCATACAAAGAGTTTCTTCAGCCCCTAATGCCTGCATTCAGGGCTCGAATGGCACCCTGGCTTCTGGGGGAGCCCTGTGCGAGAGCCGTAGGAGTGAGGGTGGGGGATCCATCCAATCACCTTCGTTCTAACGCTGTATGAGGGGGGCTGGATCATTTTTCGGACCCCCGGGTGTGTCAGTTGACGGCTTCTGGGGGAGCCTTTTGCCCTTTTTGGGGAGCCAGCTCCCCTTAGCTTCCCCATAATTGAAACCTTGCCTGCATTAGCCACAGAAAGAAAAAAGATGAGGAAACAATTGGGTCAGAAAAAAACACTCTCTTCTACATCACAGGGAAAATTAGCATCCATGGCCTTCCCACCTCAGCTTGTGACCACATAAGGCTGTGTTCATTTGTCAGCTAGGAGAGAAAGGGCACGTTAAAGCTAACTATTAGCATGTTCACAGCTTGGTGGAACACATTCAGGCTTGTGTTATTTGTGGAAATAACAGATCAGCGTCAAATTTTTTACTCAAGAAAGAAGAGTGAATGAAAACGAAAATCAGGCTTTTTACCCTATCTCTAAGGGAGAGCCCAGACAACGTGGAGACAGCACATTTCAGCCACTCGTGTCCGCGATTGGAACGTAGATCGACTGGTAAATCAAGAACTTCGCCTTCTGGCTCCGCTCTCTCTTAACTACAACAGACCGGTAAAACGCCTGCATCACTGCAGACGCAGCACTGATTCGCCTGTTGATCTTGTGCACCATTTTTCCTCACTAATGAACAAGACCCTGAGATACTTAAACTCCTCCATTTGGGGCAGGACCTTGGAGAAGGCATTCTACCATACTTTCAGAGTTGACCTAATTCAACATGGCCACCGCAGCTAATCAACCGTAGCAAACATTACTACGGCTAAACGTCAGCTAATTTGGCTCAAAATATATGTGCAAGTAGCTGAGTCTCACACACACACACACACACACACACACACACACACACACACACACACACACACACACACACACACACACACACACACACACACACACACACACACACACACACTTGTGAAAATACTTCAGATCTAACATGGTAAGCAACTCAGGTAAACTTCCCTCAACATTATAACACGCCCACGTGTGTTAAGAATATACGCACAAGCATGAGCTATTGATGATGTATGAGGCGGGGCCACAGTTGTAAAAACAAAACATTTACAGGATGTTTGTCCTAAAAAAGCACGTGGACTCTGCATATGCTTCATACAAGGAGGTGGTATGTGCTTATACTTTGACGACAGGTTGTTGAGTTGAAATAGGGGTTAAAGTCAGAGGCAGATGTCAGAACTAACACATATTTGCTGAATTTTTTCAGTGTTCTTTTGGCTCCATCATGTTTTCCCTTCTCTTCTGAAACTGAACCGTTGCATAAATATCCTGTTATGTAACACTCTATTCTTGTACTTGTGTTGAGAGCAACATAAGCAGACACATTTTCTTCTTGCCTTTAGGGGCCGACATTTGGGCCAGCAGATTTTAAACAGCCTCGTGTTCTTCAGACACAAACACAAGAGTCATTTCGTTTTAGTCAACTAACAATAAAATTTTCTCTCTATTCTCTGCTTTCCTGTCTGCGTGTTTTTGTTTGTTTTTGTATGTGTCTCAGTGATAATGTGTGAAATGTTTCTCTCAACAGTGTGTGGTACCTGAATGGCAACTACCTGGTTGTCATGGTCTCTGCTAGTGTCATCCTGCCCCTCGCGCTAATGAAGCAGCTTGGTGAGAAATGTGACATTATCTGAGATTGTTCCTTAACTTAGTATTTTTCTTTTATGTTTTTAATCTCTATAATGTCTAAAATCCCAGAAATTGACAACAATGACTTAAATTTGATCAGGTTTCCTCACCAGTGAGGTGATTTTCTTCTTCTTAAAAGAACAATTCACTTCTGAGAGATGCTGATCAGATTTTTTTCACTCACAGAACCGCTGCTCACTGGATGTTTTCCCTTTTTCGGCCCTTTCTCTGTAAACCCTAGAGATGGTTGTGCATGACGATCCCAGAAGATCAGCAGTTTCTGGAATACTCAGACCAGCCAGTCTGGCACCAACAACCATGCCACTTTCAAAGTCGCATAAATCACATTTCTTCCCCATTCTGATGCTCAGTTTGAACTACAGCAGATCATCTTCACCATGCCAACGTGGCTAAATGCATTGAGTTGCCGCTGTGTGATTGGTTGATTAGTAATTTGCGTCAACGAGAAAACACAGGGCATGTGTACCCAATAAAGTGGCCAGTGAGTGCCTCTGGTAATCGGCATGTTCTGTTCTATCAGAAACTTTAATTTGAATGTAGAATTACAAAGACTGGGCCAGCTTTTATACTTCTTGTATAATGACTCATGGAGTAATTACGCCAACATCAAGCAATTAGCACGTTTTTATTTGACCTCTGGCAGCGAGGAGCAGCAGGTACTCCTCATTTTCTCCAAAATAATTGCAGCCTTGTGTCCAGTGTAATCTGCTCATTATGACATGCTATCAACATGGGGTTTCTGCCCTTGTTGGTGCTGTGAGGTTGTTCTGACGAATTATTTCCATTTCACCTTTTATTATAACAAAACGCTCCTTTTCCATTTTTGTAGATAAACAAGAAAGAGATTCAGTTTAATGCATTTTAATGTGAATTCTGTTCTTTTTTTATCAGGTTACCTGGGCTACACCAGCGGATTTTCTCTCAGCTGTATGGTGTTTTTCCTCACTGCAGTAAGTTGGACAAGCGGGTACATTATTACAATTACTAGATACAGTTATTACAGGGGCCAGTGTTGCTGCTTCCTATTTTAGCAGTGTTCAGCTATATTTGAGAAACTGAATTCAGGTTGGTACATGAAATACTAATCATAAAGTTTATTTTTTGTTTTTTGTTTGTTAACCCTTCCACTGTCCTAATGGGTGTGACCCCGTGGTGAGGTACACGTGGCAGGGGTGAGGTGGTGCTCACTCCTCAACCCTGCCACATGGACCCAAGGGATAAACCATCAACCCTGCTCAATGGTCAACTTTCCTCGTGGGGTCACACCCATTAGGACAGTGAGAGGGTTAAAGGTGTGGAACACTGAAAAACCATTTTAAAGATAATTTCTGATTGTAATGGGTCACTCTTATGCAGGCTCAACATAAAATAGTCTCCTACAACTGTCTCCTGCATTAGCTTCTGATAGAAAATAGACGGTGAAACTCTAGGATTAGAAAATCCTGACAGATCTACGTCACACTGTTACTTAACATTCATGGACTCACCCATCTTGACTTGCAACGGTGAAGGCTGCTGTTGGTTTAGCACCCAGGAAACAGCAGAGAATGTCTTGGCTAGTAGAAGCTAACCGTTAACATTAGCAACTCCACCACACAGCAGAACTTCTCCAGGCTTTTGATATTTGTGGAGATAAAACAGCATCATTGCAAGTCAGTGGTAGAGTTGTGTTGCTGGTATCTAATCCAAGATGTAATCGCCAAATATGAGGAAATAAGATTCCAAATCCTGTTGTCTGAAGCTATTTGATCTGGCAAATCTTCTAGTTCTTGAAACAGGCCCATCAGAGCCCCAACCAGTACAACTTACAAGACATTCATTCCTACTGAAGACCACTGCAAATGTATTGAATAAATGAGTGCTCCACACCTTTAAAACTTTAGGAATAGGTGCATTAATTATGACACAGCTGCCATTATAGAATGGACGTGTGAAAGTCATGAATATTAATGAGTAAGACTTCAAATCCTGACACATTTTCTGCTCCCCTCTGCTCCCCTCTGCTCCGGCTAACTTCTACTGCCTGAAACAGGAGCATCAGAGCTTTTTTCCCCCACATATTCCCACAGGATGATTTAGATGTTTCTCCAATTTTGGCTGTTTTTCTGCAGGTTACCTACAAGAAGTTTCAGATCCCTTGCCCTTTTGAAGAGTTTTCAGTAAACGGCACTGATGCTCACCTCAGCCTGAATGTATCAGACCAGATTAATGGATACAGTAATAGTTTGGTGCACGAAGAGAATGGCTCCCACTGCACCCCACGCATGTTCACCATCAACTCACAGGTGGGTGGCTAAAGTAGGAAAAAAAACAAAACAGTTGGCTGATCTGATGGGGAACACTGACACCAGATCTGCAGAAGTCTGTTTGTGTATAATAACAGTGCCTTGTGCTTACAGACCGCATACACAATCCCAATCTTGGCTTTCGCCTTCGTCTGCCACCCTGAGGTTCTGCCCATCTACACCGAGCTCCGCAAGTGAGTCACTCCTTCATCAGCCTGTGATATTTGACAACACGTTAGTGCAGAATGTGGCATAACTTTTAATTCTCTCATTTCAGTCCAACAAAGAAGAAAATGCAAAAAGTGTCCAATGTCTCCATCTTTGTCATGTACAGCATGTACTTTCTGGCAGCTCTCTTTGGCTACTTGACCTTTTATGGTGAGAACATTTTTTGTGCTGTTTTTGTTTTTGCATGGATTTGCACAGTTTTACATCCCTGCACAGCAGTTCATACGCCATATATGTTCATTTAGTGCACAATGTGGATTTAACAACTTTTCATTTGTATTTTCTTATTTTCATTTGAGTTTTTTTCCCAAATTTTTTCAGTTTTTTATTTGAATCTTGTCCTCATAGCAAAGAAATAATTTCAGTGTACAAGCTAGCTTGTGTCTTCACAGTGCACATGACAAAAAACTTGAAACCGAAAGATAATTCCTAAATGCCCAATAAAAATCATTTCAAAAGGGGGGAGCAAAATAAAGCAGTTGTTTAAACTGATTCTGGCATTAAAATAACTTTAACTCTGGCTTTTATCAACAGGACGAAATCTTTTCTGCAAACATGCACTGAAGTGAGGACACTTGCAAGCTATTATTAAATTTGGAAGCAGATGTGGAAACCCTTAAATATAGTTTATGTCAAATCCCTAAATGACTACTACTTAATTTCAAGGGATTCCTGACTCTATTCAACTAGCTTACATTGATGTTTGTTTAAAAAGAAATGATTGATATGCAGGTTCTGCAGCTTTTCTGTAATACAGAGTCCAAGCTCCCTTTTGTGGCAACTGTATAACAAGATGTTTTCACGTTTTGACGTTAACACAAACTCATGAATTAATTTCTGTTGTATGTTTACACAGAGAATGTGGAGCCTGAACTGCTGCACACGTACAGCCGCATTGACCCCTACGACACTTTGATCCTTTGTGTCCGTGTGGCCGTCCTCACTGCTGTGACTCTGACTGTCCCTATTGTGTTGTTCCCTGTGAGTAAGACCCATTTTCATCAGGTTTATAGACTTTATGTTGTTTCACGGTTTTAACTGAAATAAAATCTGTATCTGTAGGTCCGTAGAGCCATCCAGCACATGATATTCCCCAGCAAGTCTTTCAACTGGTTACGTCACATCTCCATCGCTCTCATTCTGCTCATGTTCATCAACATGCTGGTGATATTTGCTCCCAACATTCTGGGCATCTTCGGCATCATTGGTTAGTTCAGCAGCAGCAATGTCAAAATAAAATGACACGATCTAATCCTCTTAATGATTGAATACTGTTAGTTGAAAAAGAACTGCAGAAGAAATATCAAGGATATTATATAAAATTATTCTATTTATTTGAAATGTATGCAAACTAAAAACAATACAAAATTATGGACTTTTACACACATACACACACACACATGCACTCGGACACACGCTCACACATGCATATACTCACACACACATGCACTCGGACACACGCTCACACATGCATATACTCTCTCTCTCTCTCTCTCTCTCTCTCTCACACACACACACACACACGCATGCACTCATTCACTCACTCACACACACAAACATGCAGTCACTCACACACACACATGTACTAACTCACACACATACATACATGCACTCACACACACACGCATGCACTCATTCACACACACACACACACACACACACACACACACACACACACACACACACACACACACACACACACACACACACACACACACACACACACACACACACACATACGCACACACACACACACACACACACACACACACACACACACACACACACACACACACACACACACGCACTCATTCACTCACTCATACACAAACATGCACTCACTCACTCACTCACATGCAGTCACACACACACACACACACACGCATACACACACACACACGCATACACACACACACACACACACACACACACACACACACACACACACACACACACACACACACACACACACACACACACACACACACCCTCAAAGTAACACACAAGGAGTACATGTTTGCTCGTGGAGCAGGAGACCTTAGTGTTACCGCTACAGTGTGTCTGCGGAGCTGAGGCTACATTTTGTAGGTCTGACAGGAGTAAAATTGGAAAACCTTACTTTGAATGATGCAATAAAATAAAACATGGGAAGCTCCCCTAGTGTACTCCTGTACTTAGCGAGACGGATCATTTCCAGTTTGACAGCTTGTCTTCATCACCCTATGTCTCCATCCTCCTGACCATTACGACCGCTCTGTCTCTCTCAGGTGCCACTTCGGCTCCCTGCCTCATCTTCATTTTCCCTGCTGTCTTCTACATCCGCATCGTGCCAAGAGAGGACGAACCCTTGACTTCTCTTCCTAAGATAATAGTGAGGCTTTCATGTTTTTGTTTTAAACTGAAAATTTGACACACTACTGTGGCTTATTTAGTATAAGTGAATTATTGATCCCCCCTGTCATTCTCAGGCTTTGTGCTTTACTGCTATGGGCGTCTCCTTCATGGTGATGAGTCTGAGCTTCATCTTCATGGACTGGACTTCAGGGACCAGCCGTGCTGCTGGAGGTCACTAATTACCGTTTTAATGTGTGCGCTTTCAGTGGAGGGGATATAATGTGTTCAGTAAAGGGAGCACTATCCTGTCGCCTTGGTATAGACTCTCCAGCTCAGCTCAAACTCAAAGTGGTCAAATTATTTCTTTGGCTGTAACTTAAAGGCCCAGTGTGTGATATTTTTACCTGTTAACTATCAAATCCTGTTTCCAGTTCATAAACTTATCCTTTTTCACCAATATTTCATACCAACATCAATTCTAAATAGTCCTCTCAACTTGAAATTATACATTTTTATATACATAAACTGGTTGAGGCTCCATGGTCATCCACCATCTTAAAATACAGTAGCTGTTTAGGGACATACGAGCTCAACGTTACCCGTTTGGACTATGACTGTAACCTGAAATAACCAGCAGAGGGCAGCAGTGCGCCCTGGAAGCTTGAAGTCTGCTAATTCAACTAAGAAATATAAAACGAATAGCTACACCGTTGCTGTACTTGTTAGTTTGAATAAAATAACAATTAAATCAAAAGACACATAAAATTTGTCAGTTCGTCATCATGTCCAACACAACGTTACTGCATATGTTCAGATCTCCACTCGCTTATATCTGAACGCCAGTCTCCGATTAGTGCCCCTGACTCCCAAACTCATCTCAAGTTGTTCATTCGTCTTTTCCTAGTACCAGAACTCCCGATCCGGTCCGAACGTGTCCTTTCCAAAGTCCTTTTACTCAAGTCTCCTCTCTTCCCGCAGCCTGCCGTCTCTCCCAACACGCACCAGTGCTCGTTCGCTAGCCAGTGGCTAAATCAGCAATGTTTACTCTATCTCCACAACACTCTACTAATGGCGATGTAGTTCTCCACACGTTACAGAGACGCTCCGACACAGAGGGCTTCTTCTCAAACATTACCTTGGGTCTCCTTTTGCTGGTAATTCGTGGGAGTTTACACACAGCGTACAAAGCGTGTCCCCGGCTATAGCCATGGCTAATTAGTAGCTCATGATGCCCATCTCCACCTTGCCAGCCATGAGCTACGATTAGCTGGTGGGTAAGTCAGCATTGTTTACTTGATATCCAGCATGTCCCCGGCCCACCAACACTCCTTCACCAGCCGTGGTTAACGAGCAGCTAGTGATCGCTCCATAGATGGTAGCGGCAGCCAGTTTGTTTACATTGAGTGCACCATGAGCCGCGTGAAACGGGTGTTGTGGGAAATTATGTTCTCCTGAAATATTCTGTTTCCCTTAGGCAGTCAAGAGCAAATATTTCCAAATTCACAGAACTGATTGTTCATTATGAGGAATTAAAAAACCTAAAATAAAAGATGGCTAAACTGAGTGCGATTACATCGTTTTACATAACTTTCAAAAATGATAAATAAGCTTGCTGCAAAAGAGTGAACAAGAATGTTTTTACTGTATCTTTTTATTGTTTTAGGAGGAAATATAGATAAAAAGTCACAAGCATAACATTATTACATTACATTACATTATTTTCCCATAAAAGTTTATCACAGATGTTGTGAAAATAGCCAGAAGTGCGATCTCCCAACATGGGGGGACAGATTCAATATTTCAAGGGAACACAATTTCTCAAGACACCTGACCTCCCGGCTGACGTCACCCCTCCTCCGTGTTTGAATCGAGACAGATTCAAGAACAGAACTAGTTAGTTTCCTTCAGAAATGGTAGGTTGATAAATAATTATAAATGCTTTTTTAAAGAGGTAAAGTAGCTTGTTTTAAGCTTTGTGTGGGTTAGGCCGCACAGGTTGGAAATTGATTATACAGTCAAACTAATGAGTGAGCCACTGTAGCTGCAATACTTTCTCTGAACTGCACAGCGCTAAAGAGTCGCATTTTTTCATCATGATTTCAATGGATTTCACACATGGGGCCTTTAAACTCTCTTTTGCCTACTTTATAAAAAAGTTTTTTCCAAAGCAGATTATTCAGATTAAATCTAAATGAAAGTGCAACAAAAACCAAATATCCTCTCCTGCATGCAAACAGCTGCAGCTGGTACTGTGCACACATATATGAAGGCAGGAATGCATCAACAGGTTTGAAATCCTCACACTGAGATGCACAAAAGATGCAATCAGATGATTTCACAGGAAGCCAGCGTCCATCTGTACTGTAAACCATCACCATCTTTGTCATCAGCAAAGGCCTTAGATTGCAAGGGACGTTTTAGGCATCTGTAAGCCTTTGCTCCATATGCAGTTGACCTGCGACGCCTTTTACCACTTAGAACTACACACAAACATGAAATAGTGTTTATTTATTTAACTGACTGCTGTATCTGTTTAAAATTTTGGATTAACTTTATTTAACTGCTGTGCGTGATGACATCACGAAAATCTGTACATTTTGAAGTCCTTTACTTTATGAAAGTGGCATTTTAGCCATTTTGAAATGTGTTTAGTGTGTAAAAGTTGTGAATCTTCTTGAACAGCCTCTGTTTAGAGAAATAGTTTACATCCTGACAGGACTGATCTTAAATTGGTTACAATTTCTTAAATCAGTTTATTGCAGGGGAGGTGCTAGACGAAGATGGGAGGGGGCAGCCGCTCTGTTGGCGAGGCACATCTGTATAAAAACATTGCAAACATGCCTTTAAATATTTCAGATTTTATTGTTTAATTACAACAATAAAATGACAGCAATTCAGTTACAGTTCACTGAGATACAGGAATTATTTAATAAGTCTCAAAATATAACTATTTGGGAAAAAAATGCATCATATCTGAGTTATCTATATCAGTAACAATATTAATATATTTGTCTCAGCATCTCTTTTCAGCTTCAGATAAAAGTATTCACGTGCTTTAGTTCTACAATTTAAAATGGATGTCACGGGATGGTGTAGGGCAGGAGGAAGTTTAGGACCCAAGATGCAGGAAACCAGATGAATGAGGCAGGAGGTAGATGATGAAAATAAAATCCTTTATTTAGGAGTAATCCAAAGGCAGGGAGCCAAAACCAAAAATCCAAATGACTAAACCAGAGATCCAAAAACACTAGAAATCCAAATGACTAAACCAGAGATCCACAAGCACTAGAAGCTAGAGAGCAGACGAGACTAACAAGAAACAATGGACCGACAAAACATAGAGACACAGACAGGGTTATATACACTGGGGAGGATGAGAGGGAGATGAACTGCAGTTGTGTGGGGAGAGAGAGACCAGGTGAACTCAATACTAATCGGTGAGGAAACTAACATGACCTAAGAATAAAACCTAAAGGCAACAAGAGCAGGGAACATAACTAATAATCTAAGGGGGGGGGGGGGGGGGGGGGGGGGACCACAAACACCGGTGGGAAAAACACACTAAAGAGACTAATAACATGATCAGCTGTAACTAAAGGAAAATGACCTCAAGAGAAAAACCTAAAGACCAGAAGGGCAGCAAACATAACTAATATTCTAAGGGGGAAGCTGAAACTAGAGGAAAACACTACAGAAAGAAAAACTACAGGGGCGTGACTAAAGGGGGCAAAGGGAGCACAGGACCTGGGAGGGGGATGCCTGAGGAGGGAAACCTAGAGGGCTGAAGATCTGGGGGCAAATGGGGAACACCAGGAGACACATGAGAAAGACGCAGACAAGGACACATGAGGGCACTAGGAGACACAAAAGGAGAACCTAGAGAGGGATGGAGAACACAAGGAGACACATGAGGGGAGACGCAGATGCAGACCATGACAATAGAGAATAGTATCACGACCAAAGAAAAAATATATTTTTTAAGCTCTGCCCTTAGTAAGGGGGGCACAGGCGGTCTAAACTTGCTGTCAGGTTGGCTGCAGCCTGCCCTGGAGCCGCTAGAACCGTCACTGGTTTATAGACCTTCACATGCCAGTCAGTTTAGCTTTAAATGGTTATTTCTGCAGAAATATTACTAAGAAACTCCTGGTAGACTTGACAACTGTACGCACATTTTTCTGCTGCTGGTGATATTTATGCTTATAAAAACCCTATGCATGTAAATAGGACTGGGTCAGCAGTCCTGTTGGATGTAAACTCCATTTCTCAGAGGCCATCCAGGATGCCATCCACATCATGTTTTACACAAAAGCACACTTTAAAATGAAGTGGTATTGTTGTGCTACAACTAGGCTACTTCTTCGATAAAATTATTTAGGGTTTGAGGGCCTTACTCTAAAATGTCTTCAGTGCAAATATTATGTTGCAAATACCAAATGCAGATTAAGTAAACCTGGAACAGGTTGGTACTCTTTTTTTATTTTTGCTGAGTTTTAACTACAATAACAACACTATTTTAGTTCCAAACAGATGATCAGGCTGACGGTGAGAGAATGTCCTGAAACTAATTGACATCTGAAATCTGCCATCACTCAGGTTAAATACTCAATTTATAGATTAAAGTTTTTATAACCCAGGCAAATGTAAATATCTTAAAGTATCCAATACCATAAGATAAATTGCAGTAGTGCCTCCATGTCTTGTGCCTTTTATGATCCTGCCGCAGTGTTTCAAGTCCTCCATGTTAACTTTTCCAATCTCTGGTTAATGCTTTGCACGATAATGTCCTCTGTTCTATGCACCCAGTCGGAGTTTGCTTCCAGCATTATCGTGTGTGGATATTTTTTGTAATACTGCACATTAGGCAAACTGTAGTGAAGTGTTTTGAAGTCTGCGTCGTAGTATTCTGAGAACCTGAACAGACATGAACTGTTGTTTCAGGCATGACAATTACTGTATAAGTGCTGTTAAAAGAGAGGGATGAAAACTTCCATATTTATAAAATTCTTAACTTGTTTAGAGACTTGTATAATGATAACAACAATATGCACAACTTTTGTAAA